GTACGCAGACCTTACCCCTACCCTAAGGTTCCAAGAACTCCCCACCTTGCTCTTGGGGTGACTCGAACTCACAACCTCTTGGTTGGAAGTGGAGGGTGCTTACCATCAGAGCAACCCACCTTGTCCGAGCTAGTAGAAAAGCAAAGGAGAAATCCTCAAAACAAACTACCAAGTTATCTAGACAGGAATGTGCAATAAACGCATTAGGAATGCATCATATTTTGTAATATGTATCAACTAAAACAGAAGAACTAATAAGATATGGCCCTTTCTTGGCATGAATAAGATACCTGTATTTTTCATGTCCAAGTCTAAACGAAAGGAAATATTGTCGATATAAAAGGAAACACAAAAAAAAAAAATCGAAAATCAGCATAGAATAAATGCTCAAAGAAGACATAGTGTTTTCCCGTCATTAGGCAAAACTGTAAATGCCCAACATAAGAATTAATACTCACAGAGCTTTTTTTCTTTCTCAAGTGCAGCCAAAAACATTTCCTTATATCTGGGATGCATAGGGATCGATAGCAGGAAGCTATTTCTGGACATCGAAGCGAAGTAAGGCACCTAAGATCTACTGTTGGTAGCCGATGGAGCTCGTCATAGTAAATATAATATTAGCTCAGAAAGAGATGAGGGAAGCCCTTCTTCTAGCGAAGTAAGGCACCTAAGGTGTGTCTTTTTGGGATATTCTCGCCTCCAAAAGGGGTATCGGTGCTACTCTCCAGATCTTCACCGATGTATGGTCTCGACAGATGTGGTGTTCTCTGAGAACTCGCCATTCTTTTCCTCCTCCCACACTTATCCAAGTCAGGGGGAGGAAGAAGAATGGTTGATATATAAGATTACTTCACCAAGCAAAGAACAACCAGCGACTCATGATGTCCCTTCTACTAGTGCCTCTCCTGTAGAGCGATTAGATGATAGTGTTTCTTCTGATGTTCCCTCTGCTCCAGCAAAGCCGCCGACTGTTCAAGTTTATTCGAGGAGACAAAAGACCAATGATACATGTCCTGCACCAGCTCCTTCCTCATCAGATCCTCCTCCACTCAATACCTCTTTGGAAAGTCTTGACATTCCAATTGCTCTTCGCAAAGGTAAGCGTCAGTGTCAATCAACATATTCCATTCCTAACTTTATCTCCTATGACCATTTATCTCCAGTATCTAGCTCTTTGATTGCCTCTCTAGACTCTATCTCTGTGCCAAAGACAGTTAAAGAGGCCTTGAATCACCCTGGGTGGTATAATGCAATGCTTGAGGAGATCCATGAGCTAGATGAAAATCACACTTGGGATTTGGTAGACTTACCAAAGGGAAAGAAGGCAGTGGGATGCAAATGGGTCTTTGCAGTCAAGGTAAATCCAAACGGTTCTTTGGCTAGGCTTAAGGCTAGACTAGTGGCTAAAGGGTATGCTCAAACTTATGGAGTGGAATATTCAGACACCTTTTCTCCGGTGGCCAAACTCACTTCTGTTCGATAATTTATTTCCTTAGCCACCTCCGAGCGTTGGCCTTTACATCAGCTGGATATTAAGAATGCATTTCTTCATGGTGATCTCCAAGAGGAAGTATGCATGGAGCAACCACCTGGTTTTGTTGCTCAAGGGGAGTATGGGAAAGTCTGTCACTTGAAGAAATCCTTGTATGGTCTGAAGCAGAGTCCCGAGCCTGGTTTGGAAAATTTAGCAAGGTAGTTCAAGAATTTGGGTTTTTAAAGAGCAAATGTGATCATTCAGTCTTCTATAGACAATCAGCGGTTGGCATTATTCTTCTCGTTGTGTATGTTGATGACATTGTCATCACAGGAAGTGATTTTGCAGGAATCTCTTCTCTCAAATCATTCTTGCATACTAGGTTTCACACGAAAGACTTGGGGCAGCTGAAATACTTCTTGGGAGTAGAAGTAATCAGAAGCAAGAAAGGAATTTTCATGTCTCAGAGAAAGTATATCCTTGACTTACTTGCAGCAACTGGAAAGTTGGCGGCCAAGCCTTGTAGTGTTCCCAATATGCATCTTACAAAAGATGATGGTGATCCCTTTGACGATCCAGAAAGATACAGGAGGTTAGTTGGAAAACTAAACTATCTTACTGTAACTCGTCCAGATATNGTTCGGGGCGTGACAAAGCTTGGTATCAGAGCACTAGGTTCAAGAGTCCTAGGGAGTCTATGAAACCGTGTCCGGTGGAGTTTCCTTTATATGTGTGTGTCGGCCACTCATATAAATGGTTAACTACCAAGACATCCAGGATTGTCTCATTTCATTCTACTCTAGATCGTGCCATGAAGCTTTGAGCAATAGTTAACCTTCTCTTCCAATTGAATTCCAAACGTATTGGATGCCCAAGCGACGCGGAGGAGAAACCTTATGTCCTACAGAGGATAATTTCACATTGGGGTATAATTATGTAGTACAAGATTGTAAATATGAGACTTGAGAGGATGTTAAAAGTGGGATGCAATGGATAGTAGTACAGATTAGAGAATAACCTTATCAGAAAGTACATAAGCAGTTACATGTCTTATGGTTATCGGTTTACCTCAGTTACCAGTTATACAGTCTTTCAGCTAGCGGTTTATGGTTATTAAGTATGCCAGTTATTTGTTATTCAGTTACCGGATTTCCAATTCTCAGTGTATCCAACTTCTCCTTACTTGTGAGTATACGGTGATGCCTACGAGTGCTAAAAGAAAATGTAACAACAACAACAACAACCCGGTGAAATCACACTAGTGGGGTCTGGGGAGGGTAATGTGTACGCAGACTTTACCCCTACCCCGAAGGAGTAGATAGGTTGTTTCGGAAAGACCCTCGGCTCAAGAAGACAAAAAGACAAAAGGAGACAATATCAGTAAGACCACAGAAATAATATGAAAAATATGAACAACATGAAATCAAGAAGAAAGATACAAAGCAAAAGCGAGATAGTACCCCTATCAAACTAGTCTCACAAAGTTCTAAAAGAAAATGTAAGTAATAGTGATTATAGAGAAATCGCACATGTTTTATGTCCGGATTAAGACCCAAGACTCGCCGGATTGTGTAGGAAGTGATTTATGAGATGATGGTATCTCTTAATTACATGTTTGTGTATGGTAGTGTATCCATATGTGTTTTACCTTACAGAATAATTTTATTTTTTTAATTCTTAGAAATTGAGCTACAAGTTGGATGATGATAATTTAAATGTCAGACCCTATAGTGTAGCAGGTTAAGAATTTGACCGCAACTGGCATAGAATTGGCCAACTTGAGGAAAGAAAAATAAGAGACTATTGAAACTTTACTTCCTCTTCTCATTGACATTTAACATTCTATCCTCAGAATCTCCCCTGTTTCTCGTACATTTTACAGTCATTTACAATTTGCTCTAACTGTTCACGTCCAGAATTTCAATATTATTCAATACAGAAAGTCCAAAAATTATGTCGTCTTTTGCTTTCCGTTGGCGAAACGTAACCAGAGCAGAAAGGCCTAATAGAAAGTTACTTCTCAGAGTAACTTAAATATCTCAACAGGTTTCCCTTCTCAACAACTCATAAAAAACCAAACTGAAAACAAAAGAAAAGGATATGTTAGAACACTAAGCCAATCAGATAATGTGCTACTATTCCAGCAGGCCACAATAAACAATCATGGTTTTATCTGACTACGAAAATGATTCCTAAATCTACTGCCAACTAAGAAGTTTCAATATGTCATAGCTCACAATCAATTTTTTACGATGAAGAAGCTAGAAGAACAAAGCAACATCAAGGGAGCCAAGCTGCCATTTAATCTCTGATGTTACTGGTTTAACGATTAATCAACAACTGAAGGCTTCTCAATTATTTCAAGATCTAGCATAGTTTCAACGACATCATGATACGTCCATTCTGTTTCCTAACATCTGATGCAAATTAATGCTGATTTTCAAGTTCTAAGCTGCCACATGAGGTTGACTCAAAAAGGGAAAGGAAAAAATATACAAACAGGTAAATGAAGTTGGAAGGTGACAATTTAATATCCATTCAAATATGCTCTAGTAATTTGGAAAATGAGAAAATTCATCAGTATTACCTATCAAATGTAGGGTGGTTAGAAACTTAAAGATAAAATGAACAAAGCGCTATGTGATTAAAAAGAACTGAGTTTGGAGATCTCCATCCATATATTTTGCTTTCCAAGCTTGATGTAGTCTTCTTAAACAACCTCATAGACTGGAGTTTACGAACAATGAACAGATGATTGAGCAACTTCTACAATGATAATGTATCAACGGCCAAATCGAGATAGTAGAAAACAACAGCAACAACAACAACCCAGTATAATCCCACAAGTGGGGTCTGGGGAGGGTAGTGTGTACGCAGACCTTACCCCTACCCTAAGGTTCCAAGAACTCCCCACCTTGCTCTTGGGGTGACTCGAACTCACAACCTCTTGGTTGGAAGTGGAGGGTGCTTACCATCAGAGCAACCCACCTTGTCCGAGCTAGTAGAAAAGCAAAGGAGAAATCCTCAAAACAAACTACCAAGTTATCTAGACAGGAATGTGCAATAAACGCATTAGGAATGCATCATATTTTGTAATATGTATCAACTAAAACAGAAGAACTAATAAGATATGGCCCTTTCTTGGCATGAATAAGATACCTGTATTTTTCATGTCCAAGTCTAAACGAAAGGAAATATTGTCGATATAAAAGGAAACACAAAAAAAAAAAATCGAAAATCAGCATAGAATAAATGCTCAAAGAAGACATAGTGTTTTCCCGTCATTAGGCAAAACTGTAAATGCCCAACATAAGAATTAATACTCACAGAGCTTTTTTTCTTTCTCAAGTGCAGCCAAAAACATTTCCTTATATCTGGGATGCATAGGGATCGATAGCAGGAAGCTATTTCTGGACATCGAAGCGAAGTAAGGCACCTAAGATCTACTGTTGGTAGCCGATGGAGCTCGTCATAGTAAATATAATATTAGCTCAGAAAGAGATGAGGGAAGCCCTTCTTCTAGCGAAGTAAGGCACCTAAGGTGTGTCTTTTTGGGATATTCTCGCCTCCAAAAGGGGTATCGGTGCTACTCTCCAGATCTTCACCGATGTATGGTCTCGACAGATGTGGTGTTCTCTGAGAACTCGCCATTCTTTTCCTCCTCCCACACTTATCCAAGTCAGGGGGAGGAAGAAGAATGGTTGATATATAAGATTACTTCACCAAGCAAAGAACAACCAGCGACTCATGATGTCCCTTCTACTAGTGCCTCTCCTGTAGAGCGATTAGATGATAGTGTTTCTTCTGATGTTCCCTCTGCTCCAGCAAAGCCGCCGACTGTTCAAGTTTATTCGAGGAGACAAAAGACCAATGATACATGTCCTGCACCAGCTCCTTCCTCATCAGATCCTCCTCCACTCAATACCTCTTTGGAAAGTCTTGACATTCCAATTGCTCTTCGCAAAGGTAAGCGTCAGTGTCAATCAACATATTCCATTCCTAACTTTATCTCCTATGACCATTTATCTCCAGTATCTAGCTCTTTGATTGCCTCTCTAGACTCTATCTCTGTGCCAAAGACAGTTAAAGAGGCCTTGAATCACCCTGGGTGGTATAATGCAATGCTTGAGGAGATCCATGAGCTAGATGAAAATCACACTTGGGATTTGGTAGACTTACCAAAGGGAAAGAAGGCAGTGGGATGCAAATGGGTCTTTGCAGTCAAGGTAAATCCAAACGGTTCTTTGGCTAGGCTTAAGGCTAGACTAGTGGCTAAAGGGTATGCTCAAACTTATGGAGTGGAATATTCAGACACCTTTTCTCCGGTGGCCAAACTCACTTCTGTTCGATAATTTATTTCCTTAGCCACCTCCGAGCGTTGGCCTTTACATCAGCTGGATATTAAGAATGCATTTCTTCATGGTGATCTCCAAGAGGAAGTATGCATGGAGCAACCACCTGGTTTTGTTGCTCAAGGGGAGTATGGGAAAGTCTGTCACTTGAAGAAATCCTTGTATGGTCTGAAGCAGAGTCCCGAGCCTGGTTTGGAAAATTTAGCAAGGTAGTTCAAGAATTTGGGTTTTTAAAGAGCAAATGTGATCATTCAGTCTTCTATAGACAATCAGCGGTTGGCATTATTCTTCTCGTTGTGTATGTTGATGACATTGTCATCACAGGAAGTGATTTTGCAGGAATCTCTTCTCTCAAATCATTCTTGCATACTAGGTTTCACACGAAAGACTTGGGGCAGCTGAAATACTTCTTGGGAGTAGAAGTAATCAGAAGCAAGAAAGGAATTTTCATGTCTCAGAGAAAGTATATCCTTGACTTACTTGCAGCAACTGGAAAGTTGGCGGCCAAGCCTTGTAGTGTTCCCAATATGCATCTTACAAAAGATGATGGTGATCCCTTTGACGATCCAGAAAGATACAGGAGGTTAGTTGGAAAACTAAACTATCTTACTGTAACTCGTCCAGATATTGCCTTTGCAGTAAGTGTTGTTAGCCAATTCATGGCTGCACCTACAGTCAATCATTGGGCAGCTTTAGAACAGATCTTATGCTACTTAAAAGGAGCTCCTGGACTTGGCAAATTATATAGCAACCACGGACATACTCAGATCGAGTGTTTTGCAGATGCTGATTGGGCTGGATCCAAAACCGATAGAAGGTCTACTACCGGTTATTGTGTCTTTGTTGGTGGAAATCTGATATCATGGAGAAGCAAGAAACAAAATGTTGTATCTCGCTCAAGTGCAAAATCTGAGTATAGAGCTATGGCACAGGCCACGAGTGAGATTATGTGGATACATCACCTTCTGACAGAAATTGGGTTGAAGCACCCTATACCTGCAAAACTCTGGTGTGATAATCAAGTTGCTCTGCATATAGCCTCGAATCCAGTATATCATGAAAGAACTAAACATATCGAGGTTGATTGTCACTTTATTCGTGAGAAGATTAAGGAGAACTTGATTTCTACCAGTTAGGTGAAGACGGGAGAGCAACCAGCTGATTTGTTCACAAAGGCGTTGAATGGAACTCGAGTTAATTATCTTTGGAACAAGTTGGGCATGATCAACATCTATGCTCCAACTTGAGGGGGAGTGTTATAGAATATTGTTGTAAATATACATTTACCATATCAGTCCAGATACATTTAGGAGATCCTGTAATATTCTCTTTCATTTGTTTTGATTTCTTTCCTTAGATAGATTTCTTGTAATTGTATAAATTCCTTCCATATTCATGAATAGAAATTATCAGCTTCTACCATTGAATTACACTTTCCGTTGGCGAAACGTAACCATAGCAGAAAGGCCTAATAGAAAGTACCTTCTCAGAGTAACTTAAATATCTCAACAGCTTTCCCTTCTCAACAACTCATAAACCAAACTGAAAACAAAAGAAAAGGATATGTTAGAACACTAAGCCAATCAATTAATGTGCTACTATTCCAACAGGCCACAATAAACAATCACGGTTTTATCTGACTACGAAAATGATTCCTAAACTTACTGCCAACTGAAGAAGTTCCAATATGTCATAGCTCACAATCAATTTTTTACGATGAAGAAGCTAGAACAACAAAGCAAAATCAAGGGAGCAAGCTGCCATTTCATCTCTGATGTTACTTGGTTTAACGATTAATCAACAAATGAAGGCTTCTCAATTATTTCAAGATCTAGCATAGTTTCAACAACATCATGATACGTCCATTCTGTTTCCTAACATCTGATGCAAATTAATGCTGATTTTTGAGTTCTAAGCTGCCCCATGAGGCTGACTCAAAAAGGGAAAGAAAAAAAAAACACAAACAGATAAAATAAAGTTGGAAGGTGACAATTTAATATCCATTCAACTATGCTCTAGAATTTCGGAAAATGAGAAAATTCATCAGTATTACCTATCAAATGTCGAGTGGTTAGAAACTTAAAGATAAAATGAACAAAGCGCTATGTGATTAAAAAGAACTGAGTTTGGAGATCTCCATCCATATATTTTGCTTTCCAAGCTTGATGTAGTCTTCTTAAACAACCTCATAGACTGGAGTTTACGAACAATGAACAGATGATTGAGCAACTTCTACAATGATAATGTATCAACGGCCAAATCGAGATAGTAGAAAACAACAGCAACAACAACAACCCAGTATAATCCCACAAGTGGGGTCTGGGGAGGGTAGTGTGTACGCAGACCTTACCCCTACACCCTAAGGTTCCAAGAACTCCCCACCTTGCTCTTGGGGTGACTCGAACTCACAACCTCTTGGTTGGAAGTGGAGGGTGCTTACCATCAGAGCAACCCACCTTGTCCGAGCTAGTAGAAAAGCAAAGGAGAAATCCTCAAAACAAACTACCAAGTTATCTAGACAGGAATGTGCAATAAACGCATTAGGAATGCATCATATTTTGTAATATGTATCAACTAAAACAGAAGAACTAATAAGATATGGCCCTTTCTTGGCATGAATAAGATACCTGTATTTTTCATGTCCAAGTCTAAACGAAAAGGAAATAATGTCGATATAAAAGGAAAACACAAAAAAAAAAAATAACAAAAGTACAGCATAGATAAAAT